AGAGTGTTTTTTTTTTTTTTTTTTTTTTTTTTTTTTTTTTTTTTTTTTTTATTGACATAAAGAGCTTGATAAATCGAAAATTTTAATGATTTCGATTTTAATTTGTATTTTTTTATGTACATACAACTGTATACTTTGTAACTTGCTTCTTTATGGTTGATGTCTTGTTAAGCTGTCTTTAGAGCCTGTTCGGGCGTTTTGTGACCCGCGTGCTCTGCGTCTTAATTTTACCGAAGCAATTAGTGCGCTATCCTTCTCTCTCCCTTGACACGCCGTCACCTTTTTGAGAGCTGAGTTTTCGCCGCGCCACCTGTTTTTCTCTATGGCGCAACAAGCCGCGCGGGCCTTGGTGATTAGCGTCTCAACTGCGGGAGAGGCATTTTCGGCGTCCCGCGTGTTGTATTGTAAGCGAGCGTGCGACTAATTAATCGGATAACCAACAAATGTATACGAGTGCCCAGGCGCTGGGATAGAATAGTAGTGTGAGTGAAGCGTGTGTGTTTTTGGTGTTACTCGGTGGGAGAAGGTGTCCATGGGTAATCGTGATCTTCTACGGCGAGCGCAACGCGGCAACAGAGTGTTGCCCGTCGTCCAAGCGTTTGGCAGCTCGAGACGTCGGGACGCTTTTGGACAGCCAGGTCTCGAATCTCCTGTGCGCTCCCGAGCCCCCTGCGGCACTTCCTCGACACCTATCCTCTGCGGTGCGGTGTTGGAGTATTTATTACGGACGGCGCAACTGAGGTAAGAGAGCTCTCTTTAGGTACTAAATGATCCTCGCGAATCGTGTAGCGCGTTATCTTGTCACGTTGCGAGCGAAGCGTGTAAGGCGTAGCATTAAGGTTACTTATTCCTTACAATTATAATTGTTCTGTACCTTTTATTGATGGATTATATAAAAATATTACACTTACCTCGGCTTTCTCTTAATCCGCGAGAGTTTTATGCCTAGGTAAGTAGTGTCATTCCGCGAATAATTGTTGTTTTTATTTATAAAAGAACCCGCTCCCACTCATCTATCCTACATTTTATCACCCTGAATATTATAAATCGGCTGCATATGTTCGCGTTGTCTCAAAGGAGAGTTGACCTTGTTCAGAGCCTTTCTTCTTTTAGACGCTCCTTTTCGATCTTTTTCGTTTTTTGAGGCTAATTTTTCTTCCTGCTTAATTTTTTCTTTTATAATTATTTTCCCTTTTTTAACTCTTATCCTATTTTCCATGATTCTAAGTTAAAGATAAGTACGAATCTCAACTTCTCGTTCCTCCTCCTCACTTAATATTAATACTTATTTTCTGTAATTACGTATTTATTCTTCTCCTTTATTTTCTTCTTCTTTTTCGTCTTTATTTTCTTTTTCTTTTTTGATTTTTCCTGTCACTTGTTCATATACCACATTATTTTTCAAAAAAGTGATGTTATTTTAAATCTTCTTCCTTTGCCGATTACTTCATCTTTTACCACTCTCAATCGTGGTGTTGGCTTTGGCGACGTTGTGTGTTCTGTTGCTGGTGTTGGAGCGAGCTGAGATACTGATGGAATTGGTGGTGAAGGTGGTGTCGGGGTTTTTAGCTGCGGTGATGGTAGTGGGGGTGGCGGTGGTGATAGTTGTTGCATCAACCACCGTATTATAGGGCTTCTGCTAGGTAAAGGTATATCCGCTTCATTTGGTACATAAGATGCTGCTGCTGCTGCTGCTGTAACAGGTAGCGCTTCTGCAGCTGTTGTTGGTAGCGATGCTGCTGTTAGCGCTTCTGATGCAGCTGTTGTTGGTAGCGTTGCTACTGATGGTGATAGCGTTTCTGCTGGTAACGCTGCTAGTGCTGTTGATAGTTCTGATGCTGGTGGTAGTAGTTTTGCCACTGCTGCTGTTAATAGTAGCATTGTTGCTGTTAGTAGCGCTGCTGCTGCTGCTGCTACTGCTGGTAACGAGCTGCTGGAGATGGTGGTAGCGTTGCTGCTGCAGCTGCTACCGTTGCTGCTGTTGCGGCTTCTGCTACTGCTAAATTTTGTGGCAGCACCTTTAAATGCATCAACTCAAATTCCTCTAACGAGTCTGGTGCTTCATCGATTGGTGAATGTTGCGGTTGGTCCATTGGAATTGAGTTGAACAATTTCATTAATGTTAGTTCTGTAAATAATAAATAATGATATATTTAAGAAAAGTCGGCAAAAATATATTACAATAAACGTGCACACACTACCACACATGTAAATAATTTATATGGAACATGCAGCCGCATAAGTGTACAGTACGACGTAGTAATACAAATACGAAGTCGGTGAAAGATCAGAGAAGGCCTTCGAGACGGCAAAACATTACTGTTTCCGAGCTCGTCTGACCAACTCCGAACACTACAGCAGCTATATATATGTATACACACGTCCCGCTATTGCGGTACTGAGTAGAGTGGGGGAAGCATGTCGGTCGTTTTAAATCTGTCACTTTTTATCAGTTCACTCCCAGCCCCAGAACGCCCCATAAGAAGCTTCGCTTGAAAAAAATAAAAATAGGACTATAAAAATTACTTTTTGATGGAGATACAGATATTTCTGCCGCAGGTCGGGGCGTCTGGGGTGTTGACGACCTTGGTTCAGGATTCACCTTCCTTGGCTTCTTAGACTTTGACACTTGCACTGCATCATTTACGGATTACTTCTTAACCATCTTGAGGGTGAAAAGGTACTGAGAGCTTAGGAAAGTATGATTTCGTACAGGGATGGCAAATCTATTTATACAAACTATCGAACTATCTTGTTAAGAGATTGGTGAGGAGGTATTTTTCGAAACATAAGAGCTGAGATGGCACTAGGTACGCAGTTTAATTGTTTTGGGACATCAATGACTCAGACTGTATGTTCTTTGACTGTTGCAATGCATTGTAGTGGACGTGGTAGAGACAAAAAAGAAGAGAAAAACTAGGTTACACTGCAAATCTGAAAAAATTTCATGAAAAAATTTTTTTAAAGTATGAATTGTCGTACCACTAGTTATGCACTTAAAGTATTGGGAAATACCTGTTATTTAGTCAGCGTATTCTCTGACCGTTACACTCAATACAATTAGAAGAAAGGTAGAAAAAGCTAAGAAAATAAGTTTTGTGTAAAAAAAAGTGTGAAAAATATTCACATGAAGTTTTTTAATTATAATTTTATGCAATAACATTTGGTATTCAACTGAATCGCTAAGGGTAATTTGCGACTCTAATGATTTGAATTTTTGTTGTTACAAGTAAATGAGATATTTATTTGCAAATTGAAAAACTCGTAATAATTTATGTGCTGTATGTCTGATTGTTAATGTATCTACAACATTCGTCCGAACTTTCATAGGTGTCTCATTACATATATCTAGTGGAGGATGGAGAAAACGTGCTATTAATACAGAAAAACTTTATGCATCAAAACTGTAGAAAAAATTTGTTAAGCTTCTAATCATTCATTACAGCATGCATTATTTGTTATGCATGTAGATGATAAATAAGCAAACATTGTTGCTGTTCATAGTATATGAGCTACCACATATTTTTAAAGAGAAATAATTTTTAGTAAGAGCTGGGAAAACGCCTAGTATGTTACGGTGATGACACAGCCTCTTCATACTCTGGTTATTGGCGCTGAGGGACTATTTGCCGCATAGCTCGTCAAATGGGAGTGGTCAGTATCCCGACCGCATGTGAAGCAAAAATGATTTTCTAAAGAAAAAAAAAGGACTCGCATACGAAATAAAAAATGCGCTATCTATTCGTCAACGCAAGCAGCGCCTGCCGAGAGGGAAAAAAAAAATTTCCACACTTCCTTTAACGCAAACAGCGCGTGCAGAGATAAGAGAGAAATAAATATTTCCACATTTTCCTTAATTTTCCTGAAAAAAAAATCACGTACTCGGAATGCGCTTCACGTATTACCTCTTCTACATTTAAGCCAGAATCAGTCAAGCCTAGCTACTAACAGATTATACCATGTGTTATATTATATGATTAATTTCTATTTTTCTAATTTTTTAGGACCTGTTGGTTCTATAAATCGTTCTTGAAAAAAACATTAAGAAGAACTACATAACAATAAATCTTGAAAATTTAAATCTTATTGGCTGTAGAGTTCTGGGCACTAATCTTTGAAGTAGTATGCACTTTATAAGATTTTTTTTTATTAAGGTTAGATTAAGTGTCTTTAGAGCCAAATAATTAGGTTGTTGTGTTTTTTTAAACCACTTTAATTGATAAAGTTATTGAGTTTCGAAGAATAATTAAAAAGTGCTATTGAATTTATTAACGACATAAGATATTTTCAGGTTAGCTTAGGCAGCTTTAGGGTAAAAGACTAAAAACGATTGACAATTCAGTTAAGAAGCTTGAACTACAATGGTTATTGGATTTCAGACTTCAAGTCCACCGGGTTTGTTCTTTTGACTCATTGATTTTATAATTCTTAGGGTTCGGTTAGATTTGATTACACATTGATTTTATTACACGCTGCATTTTAAATTATTTATCATTTAACAAATTTTAATTATGAATACCTCTACAATTGTAAAGGAAGTATTAGTATTTTATTAGTATCCTTATTCAATATATTAAATATATATGGTTTTTAAATAAAGAAGTGATACAATTTGTTGGATTGTAATTTTAATAGCGAACAAAAAGTATTTGCTTACATTCTAAGAACCATAAAGAATCTAACACTGAATAAGTTATTTTTATTGTTTTAAAGCGTTTGATGATATAAATTTGTACTCAAATTTTTGTTAGTATAACTAGAGCTTTCAATTTTTGCGTTGTCCAAGTGTTTAGGTGTTTAACATTAGTTTAGAAAAAATTTGTTGTTGATTAAAAATACTTAAAATAAATTTTTAGAATAACTATTTTAAAAGAAAATTTATGTATTTATGTATTTAATTTAAGTATAATATATGTATAATGTATATATAATAAGTTTATGTATTTAAAAAAATTTATGTATCATCGAGGTACTAAAATAAATTACATCTTTTTGTTTAGGTTTATCTTGTCAGGATCAGCTAAAGTCAAAAGACCAAATACAACAGCACTACCAACACTACCAACATCAACAACGTATGTTCACGGTAAATAAGGTACCAGGATTTGCGGCTCAGATGCGCCGAGGGAGCCTTAACAAATCATATTGTATGAAACGTGCAACCACCAGGGGTGACGATAAAATTGATTCTAGCAGTCTAAGTGTTGGTATCAGAGTTGTAGGTTTAACTCTCACGCGGTCACATGATGGTTCGCCAAATATTTTAAGACCACGCGGTGAAGAGATACCCCTTGAGGACATGCACCGACATAATAACTCCTCGGTGGACACGGAACAACAGGATTTAGAGCCAAATTCTCCAGCTATTTCAATGGAACCGATTGCATCTAGTTCAATTAACAGATGTTCCGAGGAAACCTCTTTCACTGAAAATCGACCACGAAAAAAAGGACAGGTTGAGACAGTCTGATTTTTACCAGAGGACCTACCACTTCGAGTCATTTCGATTAAACATTGCTATAATTTTTAAATTGCGCAGTAATATTCATGGTCTGGATCAAGAATTATTTACAATTCACTTATTTTTGTTCAAGTGTTTTTTTAAAATCCAATTTCAATATGGGTAGCTTAAGACATATCGACATATTCTTTAAATATTACATTTTGTCAAAAAAATTTTAACGTTCTTACATTTTGAATTGTACACTTAACTAACACTTTATTTAAATGCAATTGAAAAAAGTTATTAAGTTAACACTATAGATTGTAAAATTCTCTTCTCCATACTTAAAACGTTATTTTCAAATAAAGTGCACTAATTTGTTGATATTTTAAACAGTATTCTAGCTTAAAACATATAAATTTTATAATTTATTACAAAACTTATAGTTTCAAATTCAACAGCTTATATTTTTATATCCTATGCGCTGTATTATGCACAATAGTATTGACTGTTACTTGAGTGCTATTAAATTATAAAAACTAAAACAAGAAATTTGAATTTTGCTTGTGTCAGTATATCAAATAACCTGGTTTTGCTCATCTTGGTCGTAAAGTTTAAGTTAAGGTGTCGTTTTTTTTTGGTATTATTATTGTTTGGTATCAATCCGTCATCCGGTGATTTTTTATTTTTTTCAGCAATTTCGGGTAAATTATTTAAATCGCTTTCACATTATTTGACTTTTTTTAAATTGATTTATTCTTATTTGATTGGATACAAATTCATCGTACAAACAGATAAAGAAAAGGCAAAAACAGTAAGTCATTCTTTAACAGACTTGTTAAATAAAGTTCCTACTCTTTACTCCCCATATCTCAAAACCGTCGCTGTCCTCTATAGGATATATGGGATGTGTCCCCTGCGCTCTCTGCGCGCCAACCTTTCAGAAGACTTTGATTTATTTCGGAAATCACATCATATCAATTAATTTAATTAAACACTGCTAATGGAAGGTTAAATTTCGTTTTTCTAAAAGATAATCATTCATGAAACATGCATTATGTTGCCATGCATCTTGTTTTGGTGTCGTATTCTTTAAGTCCGTGCTTGCGCGATGCTAAAAGATATGATTTTTCATTCCAAAAAACTGGCAATTTTTGATAGCATGCATCAGTTTCTCTTATGCGTACTTCTACTTGTGCACACTTAATAATGTGTGCTACTTCCCCAGCTGAAAAGCTGATGCACCCTGGGCATGCGATGAGTTGATAAGCGAAATTATCAGGTGAAATGGTGGCGATATTAAGGGCGTTTCCGATTACTGTTTTTTCTAATTCACATTGTTTTAACAGTACATTTCTGTATAACTCTTTCATTTGTTTTCTGAAGCGTTTTTCTATAAAAATATATTTTGAATTCACGTATGTAAACATATCTATATGGAATGTTCTTTTACAAACCGAACACCTTTCTGACCTTCACATCGTAGATTCGGCCGAGTTTTTTTAACGTGTTCTACATAAGAAAAAGGGGATAGGTAATTTACATTTTTTCTAATTATATGGAAAATAGAGGCGATCTAAAATTTAAAAATTAGACGATTTTTGGCTTGCACACTAACTTCAAAAAATTTATAACCATGGTTCTATTCTAGCTAGAAACTTTTTATTTTTTTTAAGGTATAAAAATCATCTTTGATAAAAAAATTGTTTCTCAAGTAATTATAAACAAATTCATATTGTTATAAGCAATTAAAATATTGAAACCGATTTTTAATAACTGTTCCACCCTTGTAGCTAATTTTTAAAGTTTCCATCGTATTCTACGTCAAATTTCTTATCGAAAAAGTATTCTTGTTTATTGGAGAAATAATGATGACGATTGGAAATGAATCAACTTATGTAATACGGTATGTATTATCAGCACATAGATTCTATCGTACGCCTCATTTTCTTGCATTATGTCACTATTCTCTATAATACTAATAATTCATCATTTTTATCAGTGTTAAACGAATGTTAATGAATAGGTAATCATTAAAAATTATTACTAATTGTTTTGAGTTCTTTAGGGTTATTTGTGATATTATTATTACATGAAGCTCATCTACTAACTTTCGTACTAGTTATACCTAACTTTTGCCTACGTTACCCATTAAAATACAGCTTTTTTCACTGACTCGCATCTTAAAAATTTAATTACGGATACGTATAACTACATAGGATTGTATTACAACTCATCGAGTATTGAAAAGTAGAAACGATAATGGTTAGTCCAGTAAAATACCTAAAATTATTACGAATTTTGAAATAATTTGTTTATTAACGGATTTTTTAGTTTATTCAAAGAAAACATGTGGTAGCATTTCCAAATGCCTGGAATAAAGTGTATTAACGTTATCAGATATGTAAAATGCTACTAAGGATTAAATGTAATTATGAATTCATTACAGCCGTTAATTTTTGTATAAAAATTAATAAAACTGTTCAAACTTTCAATATGTTATTTCTAACAATCATGCCTATTACTTTCTGTTAAATTAGAATTTTAGGTATTCAGAATGACAAGGTTCCACCGGAGATGCTTATACTTGTTAAATTTTTGACGTACGTATGGACATGGTAGTTCTCCAAAAATAATTTAATTTCTTACCAAGTGTTTCTCTGTACTCAAATCAATGTTGCAATTCTTTATATGAATTTCATTTTTTACACTGAGCATCTTTGTTTGCCAAGTTGAAGTGTATTCTTACATAATGACATATTCCAGCAGTATTCTTCGTACAGGATAGCAAGAATTTATTAGTGTATTCCAGGAGTGACTTTTGTCTTAACCAGGGCAAAAACTCTGTAACCAATGTACAATGAGTTTTTGGTTGTTAAACGTTTTTTACATGAGCGAGAATCCAGATTTATAAATGTATTCAGGTAATTTTGTCACAAATTATATTGGCTCTTTATTTACATCTTAATATTTTATCAGGAAGAAAAATTGGATTTGGTCTGATTTTTATTCAATTTAGCATTTATTTATGTTTTTCACTCTAAAAAGATAACATTATTTTTTGTAAATGCCCTTAAACAATAATAGATTCATTCTTGGTGTACGTACACTTGTCAAGTTTCCATATAAGGACGGATAATATAAACTTAATTTGTTTAACGAAATATTATTAGACAATCTCCATATTATAGAAAAAGCTCTTTTAGTCTTATGCATCTTTTTCTTGCCCTCTGTATGTCTACAATAAGGAGAAAGCTTAATTGATCAAACAGAACATTTTTCTTTTTTTTTTTTATTTAAATTGAATTAAAGCTCAAATCATTTTCAGTGCTTCACAGTCATAAGTACTGCAGTAATATGGGACTACTTAACATGCTTGATTTTCATTATTTAGCTCCACCATTTAATTGGCAAATAAATTTATTTGTCATTCAAAAACATTTTGATCTACTGAAAAATGAAAATCCATTAGTGGTCGGAACTTTACTTTAAAAACGAATTAAAAAGACTAACAAAAATAAGTATTCGATAAGTATCAAATTTCATTTCTACAATCAAAATTAGAAAAGTTATATTTAATACCAAATTTACTTTTAAATAGGTCAAAACTATTTACTCGCAAAACAAAAGCTTTAAAATTTTATTTACGCTAGATAAAATAGCAAGTGTATGTTTTATTATTTTCCTAATCATTCGTAGTTTCATCAGTAATAATTGATCACATGGTTTCCATAATTCTGATGAAGAATCCAACATATAATTCCTTACCTTCTTTTTTTTAAACTGTGTTTTCAATTTGATACAGCTGTCGTGTCGAAAACATGAGCACAAGTGCATGTAAGTACTGAGTATTAATGACTGCTATTATATTGAGTTACATATTATAGTTACAACTTTATGAAAATATGTTAGTAATACCAAACAAAAATAATAAATACTGTGCTGGTATATAGGTAAAAACTTATTTTTGATATTAATTAATGATTGCATTAATTTACGGTCTAAGAAGCATATATAAGCATTATCAGCCACATAATGGCTCTGTCGGTAGCTTGTCTGCCTACAGATCTTGATAGCCGGAGTTCAAATCCCACTCTGGACAAAAATTTTCATTAATAAATGAGGTTTTTTCTGGAGGGAATTTGAGCTTCATTAAAACCTACCGATTTTCCTACCGTTTCACACCTATCGTTAATTAACCAACGTATGGCTAAATACACTTTATAGTGTCAAAATAGCCATGTCTGAGCCCCTTAGGGGGCGATGATGAATATAAAAAAAAAAAAATATGTAAGCATTAACCGAATGATTTTAACTGTGAAGTAGCACAAACACTACATGTGGTGAAGAAATCGTAAATAATCAATAAAGAAACTCGTTTTATATATTAAAAATAATAATACTCATTTTCAAGCATGTGAGAATTGGCGATAAGTAAACAAAATATTTTTTAAGAATAATAAAAGACAATATTACTTCTTGGGCGAGCAGTCTTTGATTATACTTAAATAATTAAAATTGTAGAATGATAACAATTACTGTTATTATTGTAGTTATTATGTTATAATTATAATTATTATTGTAACCATGTTCAAGGTGTCTAGCGACCGGGAAAACAAGAAAAACCGGGAAATAAAATTAACCAGGAATAACCAGAAAAAAAAACCCGAGAAATCCATCAAGTATACTGGAAGTTTTTTAAATCGCTTAGTATTGACTATAAATATGGAAATTTTTTTCGCTGAATGTAAAATTTAGTGTAGATACGTATATTAATTGGTAATATACGTTTAGTATGCGCATTGTGATGCAATATACGCTCAAGTGAGGCTGAAAGCTACTTGAAAGTAAGTGTATATTCAAAAGTTACATGTAATTTATGTTAGAGTACAGGTGTACATGAATTACAAAGTTCAAGCGTTTGTATAAAGTATTAAGAATGGGGATAGTGAAAATAAGTATCGTGCTCGTACATCATGCGATGGTAGAGAAGGTATAAGGAGAGAGTGTCCGATGATTCGGAAGCCGCCATATTCTTTAGACCACCAATGATAAAAAGGCACGGAGTATCCCTGTAGTAATCTTATGGGTTGTGTCAAACCAATCAGCTACTACCTCAAGTTGTCCACTTACTTTCTTACGTTATGTTAGGCTGGAAGTTGGGCCAGAATATGGCGGAACCAATCAGCATGGAGCTGACGGTTGGACCACTCTCTTCTACTCTCGCTATGTGATGGCTGATGCAAGTGCCACTGCCAGAGATGAGTAGTGCCACTGCCTGCACGAGCAGATCAGATTTTAAACAGCTACGGCACTATATAGACGGTGCTTATGTTTGTTTTTGTTTACCTGTAGTGGTGCGATCAGGTAAGAAAATATATGTTTGATCTTGTTTTCGTGTATTTTCAATCCCGGTTTTGTTTTCTAATAGTGTCTTTTGTCATAGTTTTTATGGAGCGTATGATAGAGAAGTCTATCCTCCAGAAGGAATCGATGGTTACAAAAACATTCATTTAGGTTTCTCTGTCAAAACGGCCATTAAAAATGCTTTACAAGAAAGAAAAATTCCTGATTCACAGATTCAGGAGCGATCTTCCTTAAACTACAAAATTGTGAGAGGCGTTTCCTGCTTGGATCCGCTTGTAGTTACCGAAACTCCTAATCTTGCAACGAGACAGATCGAGGTGGCGCTGGAAGT